ATAGTTTAAGCGCTGGATTGATCATGTCGGATTGGTCATTCAGGACAAAAGATTTTTAAGCGACAAAATAGAAGATCTCAATTCATCGAGTATAATTTTTTTCTGTATGACCTTGCAAAACTTTAGTGGTCCGATTGTGATATTTTTTTTTTTTTGTTCAAAAGGGTAAAGCTGGAATATGGTCCTATCGAAAGTTTGAAGGTCTTAGAAAAGGGGAGAATGAATAACTCTTTTTCTAGTGGATAAATAATACTTTGGAATGGAAATATGGAAATGTAACCAGAAGCATTGAAGAATGAATTAATTGATTTAAACGTATTGCTTCGCATAATACGTCAACACGTAGTCCCATTGTTGTAATTTTTCGTTCAAAACCCACCGAAACTGAAGGAGATGAATTGGGACATTGCACCTTCTGATTATCATTTGTTTCGATCGCTGCAGAACAATTTGAATGGAAAAAAATTTTAAAATGTGGAAGACGTCAAAAACCACCTTGACACCCTTTTCAACGAGAAACCGCGCGATTTCTATGAATCAGGCATCCGTAAATTGGTTGAACGTTGGGAGTGGATTGCCGAACATGATGGCGAATACATAATTGATTAATAAAAGCGCTTTCTTCAAAAAATTTCAATTTTAGTTTGCACTTGAAATCGATCACGAACTTATGCATTCATCAATAACATTTAACTTTCTCGGATAAAATGATTTAAAAAATATTTTGATGATACTTGCAAATGTTTGAACCGAATTGATGGATTTTATTTACATTAACGTGCATTTATCGTTACAATGCAGCCTTGAGTAGAACATAGATCTATTTGAAATTTTGCAGAGCTTTCAGACAAGGTTATTCCTTATCGCGTGACTTCTTTCATTTAATCTTCGAGAGAATAATAAATGCTGCAGAGCAAAATAGATAAAGCACAATCTTTTACAAGAGTAGCGTATGACGAGGACATTGATTCCATCGGCCTTAACAACCACGCTGTGGGATCTGTTTTATCTATGCTCGATAAAGAAACGAAACGAATTGGTCTGGCAGAGCGCGAGGACAAGACGAAATATCTCACGTCATTATGTATGTAGTTCAGTCTGAAAGAATGAAAGCACTCAAGCTTTGCAAGTGTTCGATGCAGAGCAAAAGAAAGACCTTCACTCCGTTGAAAGATTTCGGTGGAGAGCGAACTGGTGTCACTTGGTATTTCACGCCAATGAAGAAGCAGATATGAGTATAAACTTAAATTCACTGGTACTTTTAACTTTAAAAGTCTATAATTAATAAATTTATAGAATATTTTTTTTTGCAAAGAGATTCGTGGAAGATTTCCGAGCTGTTGTGTGCGGTACTTGTTTAGTTAATTTATTTTTAGAATGAATCCTGTTTATGCCAAACGATTTACAGTACTTGTGATTATAATCAAGATATTTCCCTTGGTTTACCTTTGCTGCCAAATACGAGTATGTAACAGCTTCGATGATTTATTCGCAGCACATTCATGTGCTAATCAGATAATTTTCAAGGTCAATCACAAGCAACTTTTTAATCTAAAAATTTTTCGATAAAAAGAAGATCATTCAAGACACTAATTCTCAAACGTAATCTTATTGAGTTTCGTATTTTACATTTTAATTGGTATTTCGTTGTAAATTTTTGACAAACATACACGTATTACACCTTAAATATCGAAATGAACTTTTTACGAGTCAATTACAAAGTCGTCATAATAAGTACTTTCTTTTATTAAGAAAAACATTTGAAATTTTATATACAAATTTACGACCGGTTTAATTACGTTTAAGTTGCTAAAATCTATATTCACTAAGCACACACACCTTAGACATTCATAAGCACATACATCCACATATTATTTATATAATATATACTACATATGGGTGTTTGAAGAAGCCAACGACTTAGTAGCTCATTAAAATTGCAAGTGAATAACGTATGTATGTACAAATATGTAAGTATATAATTAACTTACTGCCTGTTGGGCATTTATGGCTAATAAATTCAATTTTTGATTGCAGAAGATAAATATAATACATATAAATACAGTGCTTAGGTAAATACATAAAAAATATTGAGCAAAAAACGCTTTGTTGTTTGCTTTGTTTTCAACACGAAAAAGTGCATACAAAGTCCCTTTCCGAGAAAATTGTATGGCTTTAGGTATTTTGGGTACAAGTTCCGGTGGTATATGTGGCCCTATACACATATATAAGATATATAATATATAGGGTTAGCCATTTCGTGTTTTAAAGATCGATCACATATATTGTGAATTCCGTGGATCTACATTTTGATCGTTCCAAATTAAATTTTACTACAATAAGTGGAAGTGAGTTTGAAGACCCGAATGTTTTGTACATCTCGACGTTCTCAAGAGCTGGGACTTTCTTTTATATAAATGGCGCTTTGTAACCGCTTAAGCGATTTTCTGCCGAGCTCCACCTCCAATTTGTGGTTTTTATATTTTTTCCAACAAATGGAGTGAGCTACAGTTTATACTAGCTGCCTCATAACAGCTGATGCTTTTTTTACGAGGAGAATTTAAGTCATGTCCGAAAAACACCCTACCGAGGGGAGACTGCAATGGTAAAATTTTAATTAATTTTTTATTTAAATTAATTTTCAATAAGTACAACATCAGGATTTGAACACGCAATGATAACCACCCGGCTACCGCGGCCGCCGACTTGGGACTTTCTTACGACGCAAAAGCTGTTCAGGCACCTTATCAGTTCTTCACCGCCGTACATTAAAAGCTCGATAAGTCTTTCCTTCCTTAATTCAGTACACTCAGGCCACAAGTTACTAAATCAGCCCCTTATATGCTATAAAAGTGGAGAGAATTTTTGAGTCTTACCTTCGTCATCTCGCTTCACAAGCTCTTAATACCCATGCATCTGTACCTCTTTCTTTTTACGTCTGCAAATGCGTTCTGCTTCCCTCTTAAAGTCTCAGTATCTATTACACCCATTCCTAGATTTCGGCCTCCAGCTCCCTTATGTCGAGTTGCTAATCAATACTCTCAGAGAGGAGGAGTGCAAGTCGAGTAGAAAACCGTTTGTCTGTTTGTTGTGAATCCAGCTTTCCGAAGGCGAACCTTCCTTATATTTTTACTGACCGGAGTTCTTTACTGCACAGAGGCGGGTGTTAAACTCACGTCGAGAACAATAGAGACATGTCTTCCGTCTATCACAATATGATTGATCTGATTTGGAGTTTTTCAGTCAGGGGATAGCCAAATCCATTTTATTTATGTTTATTTTCGAAACCGCTCTAATTCTGTGCCTTATAACCCCTGGAGCGATTTTTGACCAAGCTCTTCCTCCAATTTGTGTTATGCGTTTGAAGGTTTTTCCAGCAAATGGAGGGACCTACAGTTTATTCTAAGCCGCCTTGAAGCTGCTGATTGTTATTAACGAGGAGTCTTTTCCTATTCGTTACAAAAATACATTCGAAGGTGTTGATATTCCCTGTCGATAGAATCAGAAAAACTAAAATAATATTCTGGAATTTTACGTTGGGTTCGAAACCCTGTAAGCATTGTGAAGGCGGCATATATGACACACATTTCTATTGGCTTAGATCTATTTAAACCCGCAGTTATGACATCCATTACCTTCCTCTATAATACTATTACGATCAGCAACTGATACATTCCAAGCTGCCTATATTTGGCCTCCGCCTTCCACTTACTACAGAACGGCAACTGTGAGTTCTGTTTCTGCCACTACGTATATGTTAAAATCGTGCCTGGCGATTTAACAGCCGATGATAAGATCCGATAGCACTCTCTCTGCGATCCCAACATCAACTTCGATCATTATATTGTTGCAGCCAAGTCAAAGCACCCTATGAGCTTCCTTCGGTAACATGGTGTAAGGGCATTTTAGGATGGTATTTCAAGCTCCTTATGTAGCTGCAAAGGAAAGTCGGTGCTAGAAGGACTGCCGTAAGGGTGTCAGAAAACCGACTGCTTAAAGTTACGAACATTCACAACACGTGCAGGGTGACATACTCGTAGATACTGGGTTTTGAAAAGAGAAGCAAAACGTATTTTCAGACAATTAAACAGGAAGGCCGAATATTATGTGTATGACGGAATTGAGAAGCTGGCTGTTCGATAGGGGTATGCTCGAAAACTCCGTGCTGACTGGGAGTGAAAATGGAACCCAAGTTGATAGGGAACCTGACCTCAAAACAATGCTGTTGGCGAATCCGTTCCATCCTTTTACAATATATACAATTGCCCGGCGTTATTGATAACAAAGCCACTGTTGACAGTCATAACTTTGAAGTTGTAGATAATCTTTAAAATCCAACGAAGCAGAATCACTCTTGCCAGCCGGTGCTACTTTGGAAGGATAGTTAATTGTAAATTGAAATCTCTACTATATGGTGCACAAGCGTGAACATATGAACCACAGCACTCTAGCTTTGAAAATTTAAGACGAAGTACCTGCTGGTGGAATCAGCGGAAGACGGAGAGCTTCACTCCGTTGGAGGAATCATGCGGAGAAGAAGCTGGTCTCCCTTGATGTCTCCGATTGGCGCTAAAAGCATAATAGAAGAAACAAATGTCGGCTAGAATCGCACAAGCGGTGCCTACGCCTATAAAGAAAACAAAAGTTCGTACATCGTAATTTGTATTGTACTCTACTATTTCTCTCAGTGCAACCCGACATGATTGCTTTATATTTTAACGCCATGTAGAGACTAGAAAACGAAATAATTATCAGTAAAGTCTACAATAAATGCTGATCTTCGCTCAGCTAGTCTCTCACCAGCCACCCTGCCCGCCACCACGCCAAACCACCACAGCTTCAAAGCGATAACGTTATGAACTCTTTCTTAAAGTCAACTATTTTTTTTTTTTTTTTTTTTTGTAATTCTAATTTTTCTGTTTTAGTTTTTTTTTTTTTTTTTTTTTGTAATAGAAAAAGCAGTTTATTGATTGAAAAAGTAACAGCGCAGCTGGCTGTGAGCTGCCCTCTTCTCCGCTCAATATTTCGTGTGGCAGTAACAATTTTGACGTCGTACGTGCCGCATGACTAAGCCAAGTAAAGTAAACAATCAATATTATAGCAATTTCTTTTTGGTTTTTCGCTTTTTTCGCTTAACCAACAAATAAAACTGGGCCATTCCGCAACGGAAATGTCTTTCACAAACATATTAAGAACATTTGCACTGTGGCTAATACTGCTTCAGCTGGGCGTCTACAAATCGCAGTCGGCTACAGTGCCGCAGGTGCAATTGTATGCAGAGAAACTTTCGCTGAGCAACAACACCGCGTATGTACGTGATGTAATGCGTCAGGCCAAGTCGGCCGAAATGCGCAATTACATGCAACCCGAAGTAGACCGTTGTGATGACTTCTATCAATACGCTTGCGGCAATTGGGCGAAAATTAATCCAACCGAACCGCGCAATTTGCTGGAGACAACATTTTTTGAACAATTAATCAATACATACAATCAAAAGCTGTTGAAAGTGCTGATGGAAGAGCCGCGAAAGGATGATGACGAGTTAACGGCGAAGGTGAAGACTTTCTTTGGCGCGTGCCGACACTTGGATGAGAAGCAAAGTGAGCATTACAAATTGAATTTAAGGGAGATTGCCAAAGAATTCGGACGAATGCCAGCACTGATGCCGACAGGCACATGGAAAGAGAGCGAGTTCGATTGGCTCACCACAATAGCACGCATACAAAACAAATACGGTATCGACATCATACTGCAATTATCGCTACGTGAGGACTTTGCCAATAAGACGGCAAATAAGATATTTATTGGGCAACCGGCGTTACCGCTGCAAAGTAGAGCCGTATATAAGAGTCCGGCTACTAAATGGCATCGTGATCGCTATGAAGAGGAGATATTTAGGGCTTTACAAAGTTATTTGGGTATAAGTGAGGAGGTAGCAAAGAGCACGGCCCACGATATACTCTATTTTGAGTCCAGACTCGCCGACGGCATGATAGACAAACGTTTGGGTAAAACACTCAAGTCCATGGCGGTATTGCGCACAGTAGACGAAATGCAAGCAGCATATGAAGGCAGCATAGACGTACGCAAGTATCTGAGCATCAGTATGGGTCAAACAATTAACGAAACCTTCTACGAATACCACGTGGAGTATCAAAAAAATCTGGTGCAGGTGCTCAAGGAAACGCCCAAAGCGCAAGTAGCCAATTATATTATATACAAATTAGTTAAAAATTTCTTTTTCAATTACAACGAAACAAGTGGCGCCAAAGAAAAGCTCTGCTTGAAAAAGACCAAAAACTACTTTGCCAAAGTTCTGGACAACATTGTCTTTCGTAAATACAACAGCGAGAGCACAGCGGCCGATATTAATCTTATCTGGTTGAAAATAAGCGAAATTTTCAAAGAAGAATTAGAGTCAGCCGAACATCTTAACTGGCTTACGCCCAACACACGCAAGTTGGCGTTGGAAAAATTGGCAGCGATGCGTTTGAAAATCAACACTTATGAGGAATCAAATTTGCGCGCAGAATATGCGAACATAACGCTGAGTAGTACCAACTACACCGAGAACATTAAGCAAATACATATACAACAGACACAGTGGGCATTGGCTAATCTGCGACAAGCGCCAAGTACCATCGAGTATCCACTCACACTTTCACTCACACCCGCCTACAACCGCAATGAGAATTTAATTAAAATACCCGTCATATTGTTACAACCGAATTTCCTATGGTCCACACATTATCCCAATGCGCTGAAGTTTGCCACACTCGGCTGCCTTGTGGCGCATGAACTCATACATGGCTTCGACGATATGGGCCGCAATGTGGATGTCGCCGGCAACGAGCTCACGTGGTGGGACAATAATTCCACCGATGCATTTAGTACGCGTAAAAACTGTTTCAAGCGTCAATATTCGCTATTTCGCGCCAATGGTAAATATTTGCCGCCGAGTGAGCTGCAAGGGGAGAACATAGCCGACAATGGTGGCTTACAATTGGCCTATAGCGCCTATGCAAAATGGTTGCGCGGCCTGAATGACTCCTCAACGACGGCGTTGGAGCGCGAACATCTGCTCGCGTTGGAAACTTTGCCAAATTTGAATTTAACAAATCATCAGTTGTTCTTCCTTGCGTTCGCGCAATATTGGTGCAATGATGTTGACGAGCACTTTAGGGACAAAGTTTCGCTGATTAACATACAAACGCCGGCAAAGTTTCGCGTGATTGGCCCTTTGGCGAATTTCCCAACATTCGCCGAGGTGTTTCAGTGCGCCAGCGGCAGTACAATGAATCCAAAGCAGAAATGTAAAATCTATTAATATTAAATAAACTTTTATTGCACTCGTGTATATTTATGTATAAGCAGTCTGTATGTATTATATAGTATATGCATGTGTATGTGCTTAAATACATATAAAAATAAGTGCATAATCCCATAAGCAAAACTAAGCAAAACTATACTAATAAATTTGTAACACAAATGTATGTTTGTAGTTTGTAAGCACTGGATGTCAATCGATCCAAATATTTTCAAGGGAGAAGGTAACTGATTAAGTCACATTTACATAATATGTAAAACACAAACAAATACTTTTTTACAATTGTCGAAAATTTGACAAATAGCAGATAAACCGACGACGTTATTGATATTTCCTTTTTAACTACATATGTATGTAAGTCAATCGACAAGCAGCGAGGAATGCAACTAGAAGTCAGGCTTTAAACAACTCAATATTTGTCTTTAACAACTTTGCCTTTTCAGTTTGTGCAACTTAAAAATGAAGTAAATTTGATCAGAAAACTTTTCGCTCCACTAAATCTACATATTATATAATATAAGTCTATACATGCATATATGCAAGCTCAGAAATGTTTGATCTTGCCACTTATAAAATTTTAAACTTGGAAATTTTGTATTTATTTTTGGGGTTATCTTCTAAGCAGATATTTGTTTCAAGCCGTTTTTTTAGGCGGCAGATGTAATAAACGGACTTTCTAGATGCTTTTTTTTATAACATTGACATTGACATTGAAATTATTTACTTTTTTTTGAAACTTAGACGTATAGGTTTTCTCGACTATATACGAAACGTCCCTGGGTTGACTACTTGGTCAGAGGGACACCCCAGGGGATTGCGAGGTCAATGAGCTGGCCAGATAGGGAACAGTCATAACTCCGGTAAACTCTGCACAAGATGTAGGCATACTTCCTACCTCGGCTAAATATTTGCTAAGACCCGCCTTCACCAGAAGGGCCAACAGCAGATGGCAGAATGAAACTACAAGTGAACAGAGCTACGTCCTTGCTCCTTTTAAACAGGACCGCCATAAGCATAACAAACTGCTCATTAACCGAACACTGTGTTATAGGTACTCATGGTAAAAAGATATTGGATATTTAAAACCTAACAACTTTTCTGCCACTGTCCAGCTTCCGTTATCGATTTCTCGGAGCTTCCTTCTCCGATTGCTTGCATCTCTAGGCATCATTAATCCTTCGTAAAATAAGTGAACCGTGTGTCTGATTTGCATTCAAACGTAGATATAGCAAATCCAATCAGCTGCGTATCTTTATGAAATGGGCGCATATTTTCCCTCTCTGAAACTTTCTTACCATTTAATAAAGTTGAAATACAAAAATTATGAGAGGCATATACTCGATGAAGTCCACTATCAATGGTTGAAAAATATAATATAATTCCGTAATTTGCGGCATTTAAACATCTAAAAAAATATGAATATTCTCCACATATTTTTTTATTAAAAAGTGGTACATTTTTTTTAAGAGAAGAGGGTGGCACGAGAAAATGAAACGCGTTTAATGTCCGATATCTATGAAGCCGACTGCGGAGAGTGAAACCTGAGCGCGATCTATTCGAGAAAAGTCGTTTTTGTGGTACTATTTGCTTGATACCGGGAACATCTGCCTTTGGCGAGTATTTTCATTTCGTGATCGATCTGACTGATCATTTTTATGATTCCTTTTGCTTGAAATTCGGACAAAGTAAGCTTCTTTCCTAAGGTAATATGTGGAAAACTGTTCATTCTTATTTAAATGGTTTAAAGTATATGTTATAGTCGTCCGACTACAATAATTTTCAATACAAATGTGTAATTTATCAATTTAATGCGTACAGAATACCAAATTTCATGCTCTTAGATATTTTTTTTTAACAAATTTATGATCCAAAATCTCAAATCTGAAAAATCGGTCCCTATACTTATGCTAGAGGTCTGATCTGACCAGTGTCGGATACTGAGTTGAAGACGGGCAAGTGTAAATCAACGCAACTTATATTTTGACTCTTCTTAGATCTGCTGTGATATTTTTGCCAATGCGCAAAGGACCATAAAAAGTTCGCAAAACTTTTCTCTCGAAGACTCCCAAGGCCGACTCATCAGGTGTGAACCTCGTCCACGCTTCTGCGCCATATAGTAGGACCGGTATGATGAGCAATTTGTAGAGTTTAGTTTTCGTTCACCGATAGAGGACTTTACTTTTCAATTGCCTACTCAGTCCAAAGTAGCACCTTTTTGGCAAGAGTGATTCTGCGTTAGATTTCAATACTGACATTATTATTGGTGTTGATGCTCGTTCCAAGATAGTTGAAGTTATCACCGACTTCAAACACATAATTATTAAGAGGGACGTTTGAGACAAGATGCGAATGCGTGTTTGATGACAGAAGGTGCTTCGCTTTGTTCTCATTTATCTAGAACCATTCGTTTGTTATTTTCTTCAGCGTTAAGCTAAAGAAGTCATATTTACAGTAGAGAGTTAAGATGTCTAAAACCTCGTTTGGTAGCGAGCGGTTTATGCAAGTCCTTCGCAATTCTCATCGAGGTTAAGGTGTTGTTCAACGGTAGTTTATAAAGCCGTTTCGATGATATAAATTTCTCACTGTCGTGCGGTCGTTAGTTTCATGTTCGACGGAGAAGTAATGTAATTTGCCGTAAAGATAAAACAAATAACAAGGACAAAGGAAGTACCACGATCGAGAGTGATATTGAATCTTAAAGAAAATTAAGCCAAGTTAGAATAAAAAAAAATTTTTTCTTTATGCTCAGTTTGTTCAGCCCATTTGTTGTTTTGATAGAGCGCACTCAGTTTCCAATCGGCGGATATGCCTTCATTCGACCATAATTTAAAAAGAAGCTAATTCAGGCAACAGCTTAGCCGGCAAACTATTGGCTCTGGTGTTCTACTTTCACGGCCAGTGAGCAGGGTGGAAAAGTGTGCTCTAGACGTCAGTCAGCATATTATACCATTGGTTCTTACATGACTATTCGGCATGACTACCGATCTTTATGTTTAATGTTTCTAGATTAAAAAAAAAAATATTTTAAATAAATCAATATGAATTGTAGTCCGAAAACTACGAAACTCCAGCTGAGAAACTTCTAAGAAAGTTGCTTTATGTAGAAAATACAAATACAAATACAACGCAAATCGTTTTAATTGTTTTCAGTATATTTTGCGCCAATGTCGCTACACTTTTGCCACTCTGATTGTGGTATCTCGGAAAAATATTGATCTCAAATTTTAATTAATTACTTTCGGTAATAAAAATAAGTCTTTCGGTGCCAAGTCAGGACTATACGTCAGATGACTCATCAAATCGATGGTGAGATATCTCATTGTCACTCCTGACAACTACAGTCGACTGCTATTTACTTTGGGGCTCATACGCGCAAGTCCACGATACATCACCTGTCACGACATCATAGACCTGTTTCGAAGCACTGTCATTATACTATTTTAACATTTATCTTGACCAATCGGCACGAGCCGATTACAAATTGTGTAGGATCCAATGTAAACAATTTTTTTTACAATCAAATGTTCATGCAATATTGAATATATACTGGTCCCACTTGAGCCTAGAGTTGTCTCAACCCTCACCATGTTAACATAACGATCTTCTAATACGATCAGTATGCATCAATAGTGTCCGAAACAAGAACTGATTTTATATGATCTTCACGAAATTCGTCTAGGAGTGAATACAACCTCGCTTGAATTCACCATACCCTCTATAAACAATAGTCCTTCATGGAGCTGTATCTGAGTTAATCAACATGTAAGTATGCGCGTTTTAACTTCATTTTTTGGCCGAGATGAGTTTTACGAAAAAGTTGTCAGTGCAAAAGTTTTAACATTAACCAAATACCGAAACTTGAAAAGTAATCCTGCACATAGTCATATAAGTCACTGGACCTTGGACTGGACTATGTAATATTTCCATTGCAATAAAGGCCACAATTTGGTCTTATTATATTTAAATATATAATTAAATATCAATATAAGAAACTTTACTATCGAATGTCATGAAAAATATTGGGTTGCCCAAAAAGTAATTGCGGATTTTTCATATAGTCGGCGTTGACAAATTTTTTCAACGGCTTGTGCATTTTTTCTTCTGTCAGTTATCAGCTGTTACTTTTAGCTTGCTTTAGAAAAAAAGTGTGCGAAATTTTGTTTACATTTGTTTGTTTGGCGTCAATTTTAATATGGAGCCCACAAAGGAGCATTTTCGTCATATTTTACTTTATTATTTCCGTAAAGGAAAAAACGCGGAGCAGGTTGCTAAAAAGTTACGAGATGTGTATGGCGATGAAGAAGATGAGCCACGTTCAGGTCGGCCAAATAAACTTGATGATGACCAAATCAAAGCATTAATCGAATTGGATCGTCATGTAACTGAGCGTGAGATAGGAGAGAAGTTAAATATACCAAAATCAACCGTTCATTATCACATAAAAAGTCTTAGACTGGTGAAAAAGCTTGATAGTTGGGTACCACATGTATTGAAAGAAATTCACATTCATTCACACACCGAATCAACGCTTGTGATATGCACCTTAAACGCAATTAATTCGATCCGTTTTTAAAACGAATCATAACTGGAGATGAAAAATGGATTGTTCACAACAACGTTAGTCGAAAACGATCATGGTCCAAGCATGGTGAACCAGCTCAAACCACTTCAAAGGCTGATATCCACCAAAAGAACGTTATGCTGTCTGTTTGGTGGGATTGGAGGGTGTCGTATATTTTGAGCTGCTTCCAAGGAACCAAACGATTAATTCGGATGTTTACTGTCAACAATTAGACAAATTGAATACAGCCATCAAGGAAAAGCGACCAGAATTGGTCAATCGTAAAGGTGTCATATTCCACCAGGACAACGCTAGACCGCACACATCTCTGGTCACTCGCCAAAAACTGAGTGAGCTTGGCTGGGAACTTTTGATGCATCCACCATATAGCCCTGACCTTGCACCATCAGACTACCATTTATTTTGATCTTTGCAGAACTCCTTAAATGGTAAAACTTTCGGCAATTATGATAAAGGCCAGAAGTTCTATGAGCGTGGAATACTAAATTTGCCAGGAAGATGGCAAAAGGTTATCGAAGAAAATGGCAATTATATATTTGATTAAAGTTCATTCTAAGTTTTATTAAAAATGCATTTACTTTCTTTTAAAAAATCCGCAATTACTTTTTGGGCAACCCAATAGCAACAAAATATCGGTAGTTTTTGTTATTGTCAAAACTTAGATCTATTTGAACAATGCTTACTCCAAAAATAATCTCAAACACCACCCACAATAACTTTAGCAAGTAAATAATTAAATTCTAAAATCAAGATAAGCCCAAAATTTTGAAGACCAGATTTTTATTATGCGAAAAAAATAAAATATGATATGTGAATAAATAATCTAAGGCAATCATAATTTTAACCGCCGCAAACTGATGTTTATCATGTCATATGTGTTTAAGTTTCCAACTGTCTGTTTGTAATGTATCTGGCGGTCGTACATAAATATTCAGTATGCATGTGTATGTATGTGTGTACATGTCGCATGTTTTGCGCTATGATCATAAAGTGCGGGTTGTCCAAGAGCACACATTCGCTAGCGCTGAGGTCAAGGCTTCATTGTAAGTTTACATTTCTCTTTTCAGATGCACACTCTCATACACATACAATTTCATTTCCGTTTAGATTTTGCTCAATGTGTTTTAGTTTTCTTTTTTCCTTTTGCTTTTCCACTTGCAATGTCGGACTACTCAAAGCGCGACAAGTGAAAGCTTGTAAAATGCATGTGCGGATTGACGGATAAATTGTCGTTATATGACTTTAACTATAAATAGGAGAATACACTCAGACAGTATTATGGCAGGCGAAGTACTGCGCTCTTTTGAGGATAACGGCAATGGAAATTTAAGACAATTCAAATAATGCCATTCAGTACTGATTTAAATAGTTTAAATATAAAAAAAAAGTATTAACGCAAATAGCTGGGCAAATTTTTAAATCCCTTAATTTTTTGTGAGTAATTTTAATATTTACACACTAGTATCCCATATGGCTGCCACAGCAGCCGAGTGGTTAACATTGATTACTCCCATTCTGAAGGCCATCCAAAATTATTGAAAATTAATTTTTCCAATTGCGGTCGCCCTTCGGCAATGCGGGTTGTTAGACTTATTAGCAGATCATAACTTGATCAGTGGCTTATAATTAGTATAAATACGAGGTTTCATTGTTATTAGACTTGAGCTATCGCCAACTAAGCAGCATAATTGGTAGTGAAAAGTGAAATATGGATATCGTACCGTTCTAAAATTCCTAACAAAACGAGGGAAAGCAGTTGCGGCCATAATGAATGGGTTGTGCAGGCGACTCTTGTCCGAGAAAAGCTATTACACACTAATGGCAGAGCTTATTTAAATAAAGAAAAACAATAATCTCTTGAAATTGAACTTATCCGAAAGTTGGAAAAATAATTATTGACGATAATTTACTAAATTAAAAAACCACTCAGAGAAATGGTTGGAGTATCCAATATAACCATTTTTGGTTATATCCTATATATATGTTATCCTATGCGATCTTCATGGCATGATTAAGTTCAGCACAAGATAGCTGCCGAGACTGCCCACGCTGACGCGAAATCAACAGCGGATAGAGTATTCTCGTTCATTTTTAGGCCACTCTAATGCAGTAAAGGAGGATGTAATGAGTCAGATTCTTACTCCAGCTGAAATTTTAGTTCATCATTACGAGCCTGAGTCGAAAAAAAGACTCCTTGCGGGGCCTTAAGAAGTTTAAGGTGTCATAGTCTACTAGAAAACTCAAAGCAACGGAAGAAGAATACTACGCTTCAATGTTAGGGCGACTAAAAGATGCCAATTAAAACAAAAAGGAGAAAATAACCGACGCGCCCGTCACAAGGATCGTGTTGCGTTGGTTACCCTGCAAAAGGTGAGTTTGGATATTTTGAATCACACACCCTATAACCCACCTGGCCCAGAGTGTTTATTACCTGTTTCCAAAATGAAAGTAAGGGGTGTAATGGCGAGTGCTCAAGCATCTGGATATGCGTACCCGTCGACTTCGTCGCGGTTTCAAAATGTGGTTGTCTGTAGTACTAGATTCCAGCACACAAGACAAATGCACTAAGCTGACTGCTGTTCCCTGATCGAAAAACTCAAAACCAGATATTTCATTTTGTGATAGAAAGAAGGCAGACCTCTCTCGACGAACGAAAACCAAACTCTTCGACCCCCCTGCTTTATACATAGTGTGGAGACATGGACGATCACATTAAGAGTTTTCGACATAAAGATTTTGCGTAACATTTATGGTTTTCTACGAGTTGGTAATGGGGAATACCGCAGCCGCAGCGCATCAAGAAAGCCGCTCAAAGAAGCAGAGGAAGAGGAGGACCACTTCTCCGTTGGAAAAACCAGAAATTTCCAATGGGCGCCAAACTGCGAAAAGAAGAAATGAATGGCGCTATGTTGTTAAGTACATCAGCGTTTCCTTCAGATTGAGACAGCATTTATTTTAAGCTCTGCTAATAAATAGTTATTTTTCAACAATTTTTATTTTAATTGCCAAAAATACAAAAATATATATTATTTTCTTAACTAAACTCCCCACAGTGTTTGCGCGCGCGCTTCTGCCTAGTAAATTGCGCATTTAAATTCTGGATCCATTGGCGCGTCCTGACTACACTTGAACACCCATGAGAATTCTTGGAAATTCGACAAGGCGCCAATCACTCGATACATACCCGGCGCATGTGAATCGGCAGCGGCCAGTGCGGTGCGGAAAAAGGATTGCACATCGTCGCACCACAACTGTGCGAAACTGATAAAGAATAGTTGTTCATTATTGAAATTTAGTTGAGTGAATCTTTCACGACTATCAATGTCCGTTTCATTGGCGGCGCGTTGTGTATGCAGCCAGCGTTGGTACGCTTTATAGGCAAATTTCACGCCAGCATTATCCGCAATGTTTTCCGCTTGTGAAACGTCATTCGGCAACTGATGGCCGTCATAACGATAATTATGATATTGCGCTTGGAAGCATTTACGACGCTCTTCAAATTGATATGTTGACTTTGCGTCCCACCAGTTGCGCAGACTGCCCGACTTATCATAGTTCCGACCATCATCATCGAAGCCATGTATCATTTCGTGAGCAATGAGATAACCGAGTGTGGCATATTTAAGCGCTTGTGGATAATGTGGGCCCCAGAAGTGGCGTGGTTGTAGTAGCGCCACGGGTATTTTAATGGTATTCTCCACTATATTGTAGGCTGGCGTAAAGGTCAACACCTCGGGCGCTTCCAACGGAGTGACGGGTCCATTTTGACGTCGCAGTTTCTTGCGACTTTCCATTTGTAAAATTTGCTGTACATTTTCAACATAATTATTACGTGTTATCTGCACATCCGCATACTCAGCAGTAAAATTTTCTGCCTCATATGAGTTAATATACAAGCGCATGGCATCTAGTTTTTCCAACGCATAAGTACGTGTTGAGTTCTCAATCCAATCCAGCTTATTGCCGCGCAAATCGTCACGAAAACTTTCACGCACTTCCTCCCAGATATCGATAACCTCTTTCTCCACAACTGGATCCTTATAGCGCTGATATACCATGTAGTCGACATATTTACCAAAATATTTCTTAGTACGCTCGACGCACCACTTGGCCACATTGCCCTTCTCCACATCGACGATGTATGCTTGCAACATTTGCCACATAATATAGTTCGCAACCACTTGCGGTGGCGTTTTGGCGATAACCTCTACCACGCTGCTCAGGTATTTCTCATCAAATAAATACACCGTCTCTGGCACCTGATCAACGCCCAAAGCTAGTTCCAAAAAGTGCTGTAAATCCAAACTTTTGTTATACGTTTCGCTCAAATCTTCGACGGACTTTAGTGACAGTAAATCGTGCAGTGTGAGCCCTTTCCGAGCATCGGTGCCGCCATGCACCAATGCGTGCTCGAAGTCAATTAGTTCTTTAGTTACCGCTTTAGCTTTTGCCTCCTCCACGCCAAATAAACGTTTCATATGCTCGACGGTGGTTATCTCCTGCAGCACCTGCAGTATCTTCGTGCCACTTGAAACGGAAAAATCCGGTGGTCCAATGTAAACTTTATTCCCTGTATTGTTCACGATGTCAACCATAATGTCCACAGCGAGTATAATTGGTTTGCCATATTTGTGTTGTATCTCTGCTACAGTTTGCCACCAATTGAACTCCTCCGCCTTCCAGTCCTCACCATCCAACATTGGTAATTTGCCAAACTCGTGATAGGCATGCTGTAGTGCCACCTTATAGCGTACATCGTCCGTTTTCACCAACTCACAGGCGTGATAGAAATTTTTCACCTTCATATCGAGCACATTATCATCGCGTGGCTCGCGTAGCACCTGCAACACACGACGATCGAAGGCGTTGGCGATCAACTGAAAACGATCGGTCATTATGTGATTGAAAAGTTGGGCGGGATGATGTCGATGCCAATTACCACAAGCATATTGATAAAAGTCTTCGCATGGTTCCACTTTCGTATTGAGCATTACATGTATCTCTGCGGCCTTGGCTTGCCTTGAAATTTGTTTGGCCCACTCTGTGGTCAAATCATCTATCGGCACTGTGGTAGTGTTCTCCACCGGCGCGGCACTGACACCAATCTGTTGTAATAAAAATATACATAATATTACTGAATTTACAAGAAGACACTTCGGTTTTGTATTGTTTCGTAACATTTTTTTGTCCGATTCGCAGCTCAGCGGCCACATTCAATACACATTTAAATCGAGACTAAGGCCATCAAGCCAATTCGTCGAGTGTAAGTGCTCGCTGAGTCTTATCTCTTTTTGCTTGTTGATTGTTTTGTCAGGCAGGTCAGCTCAGTTATCGGTAACGTCTCTGTGTTGAGTTTATGTGTAAATTTATGCTTCTGAAGAGAGGATTGTCTCACAAATAGTTTTTCATTATCTATTCTCTAGTGGCTGGCGGTGCGTACTAACATTGGGTTGGCCTGGGTTCGAGTCTTGCTTCGACCAACATCCTAAAGTTAAAGAAAATTAATTTTTCAAATTGTGGTCACCCCTAGGCAGGGAATATCAAGTCCTCCGATTGCGTTTCTGACATGAAATAAGGTGTCCTCATGAAAATCCATCGATCGTTCGTAGGCGGAAATATACTGTAGTGCCGCCCTCCATTTGTTGGAAGATGCACATCACAAATTGGAGGAGGAGCTCGGCCGAAAATCGCTTCAGCGGTTACAAAACGCAAATTATTTACTCGTTTGCTGTATTGCTTCCTCATTTATGTTGTGTGGCTGAGATTTGCGATTATAGATTCAACCACAAAACCTTCATATGACGAGTTTCTGATCGCTGTGTTTAAGCGTTGCAAAAATAGAACTATGTTACTTGAGAATTAGCCTAGCCAAAGCGGAAGAAGCTGGAAGAAGAAAACTTGCCTTCGCCTTTTGTTAACTGATAATAATAATATTTGTTTACGAAATTAACTTATTGTGATGAAAATGTTTCTTTTTTTAAGACGTCATTTTTCTTACTACTTAACTGGGAGGATAAGCCGCCTGCTTGTATGTTACAATAACGTTTCGTTGTTGTTGTTTCATGTGCAATCGACTAGCGAATTTAGGATCTTCTTCCGACTTTATGGCTTAATTCTAAAAACGATCGAGGTTGGATTGAATAGTCGCTGCGCTCTTCATGAGGAGCGGTGAGAAATAAAACAGCCGAAATAAAACTGTTCATTGCCGAAGACAAGTCGAGAACTACAGAGACCGGAACTCGCTGAAGGGACTTCCTTATCTTTTCCTTCTTAATTGACCTAGCATTATTTATGCCTAATGACGATTTATCGGATTCGCGCTTCAGCGCCATACGAGTACATTTGGAAGCAAATTATGAGAGGGTATTTTATTTTCAAAGAACCGATTTTTTCTCGACCGAGAGCAGCTAGCAGCAGTATATCTGATGAACAGACGCTGCTATAAGCCCATAGTGAACCCAAATATCGAATACATATGTCAAACTGGCTCTCTCCATTTAGATGTGACCAAAGTCTCCGCGTCACGGTTTAACTACAAATGAGAGTTGTTCAAGTTTCCAGGACGTGCTACAAGAATGCAAGAGTAGGTACTGATCAAATTATTACATCTGTAACTTCATACTCAAAAGCTGGATGGAATTACAGCTCTAGAGTTTCTAGATATGGTAATGATACAGTAGTAGGCAGAGTTTAATCATTATTATCTGGCGTCCCTGTCAACGAAACTTTAACACACGTACATCGAAAAAGTGTAATATTGATATTTAAGATGCCTCAAATTGAGAACGTTTGCCAGGCTCCTTCCATGTTTACACAATAAGTCTATGAAAAAATAGTTATATTCGTTTAGTAGTCGATAAATTTTGAGACCATGACGTGTTTCCTACCAGATTAAATGCTGTTGTTGTAACAGCAAAAATGTATCCAAAATTGGATTCTGGAAAAAAAGGCAGAAGGTAGAGTACTTGGGTAATTAAGCATCCGGGTCATTTCAGTGTAAAGATCCGAGTATCGCGGGAACTATTAGGTTTCAGCTGAACTTTGTAACAAGTTGACTCCTAACCGACAGCCAGCTAAGTAAAGAAATCATCAGGGGTGTTATTCAATAATTTAGATAGTTGGTTATCGAGAATTGACTTAGTTTCTTTAAGCCTGACAAAAGGTAGTTTCTAACTATAAATAGTTGAACAGATCTTACGGTTATTTTTGGCTTATTAAACCAGAGAAGAACTAGCAAGACTCGCTTCAAACTTCTACACTTAGGATGGTATACTGGATCCTCAAGAGAAGTTCCACATTCAGGCATAGGCGGTCACTTTTTGTTACTAGAACTATTAGTTTAGCCGGCAAATTGGCGCGGATCTCCGCATTACCTTCAAATAAGAATCTTCCGCGAACATGGTGAGAGACTTACATCCACTAACGACGACGAACATTTCATTAAATTCCTAGAAACCCACCAAGTGAAGGGCAAAGTTTCACGAAAACTAAGCGGAAGAGATATTCAAGAGTTATAACAGTTCAATCGGCCGGTCAAACATTTGTAACTACTCTTGGGAAAGGATTTTTGATTTCTTCATTAAGTTTTTCTGTTGATAAGTTTTTTTTTAAATGAAAGAATGGAAGGTTTCTAATTTTTTCTTAAATTACTTTTGTTTTAAGTGAGGATAATTTAGAAGGGTTTTATGACACGAAGTTGAACGACTTCTTAAAATTTTTGTTATTTGTGCGGCTTACTGTTAATTTTCTAATGACATGGGAGAATGGAATAATGAAATAAAAGACAATAAAAGAAAAAAAATTAAAGCTACAAAGCTAAAATTGCTCATCCTTCCGATTTCATTTAATTACATTTCAACATTTAATGTCAACTATAAACATTTCTAATTTTAAACTTAGTTATTTTATTTTCGCTTCCAGCCATACCGATCTTCTACATATTGGCAACTGTGCCTGGTCTCATGCCATGGGAGCAGGAGTATCGGTTTTTGTCCTTTTGCCATCTTTTCGGTTCGGTAGCGCCATGGTGTGGTAGCTTTGTTTATCATCTTTTTATGAATATTGAACGTGGCGAACATGTTTACTACACTTTGCTGAAATTGGATATGGTCGGTATATGGGTCAGTCAAAGCTTTGGTAAGTAATTATATATGGACGTACATACAAAATATATGTAAAGTCATTTCATATAAAATAATGTAAATTTAAGTCCCTTCATAATATATTTTTCAGTTGAAATAATTTCCTTAAAACCGTTGATCAAGCAAAGTCAGATCCTTCTCCACCTGAACAGAAAGGATGTCTTTCTCTTCTTGATCCGCGTTGGGTGCTCTTACGTACATAGCTAGCATAGCCTTTAGCTCCTAGTACACTGAACTACATATAGAAATCTACCTGGTTTAGGAATCAAACACATATGATGATCTACACATATTGGCGCCAAAACTTATCGATGTCGGAAGACTATATAGTATAGCCCTCATATAACGGTATTATTCAGATGCAAGATTTTGGTTCGAACACCGTCGAGAAAACAGAATAAATAACAATATTATTTAGCTCTCATCCAACCCATTAACAATTACTATCTATTAACCTTCTTCTAATAGTTGCTACACTTCCTTCCATTTATAATCCTGTCTTCTGTTTCCCAGCAAAGGATTATTTTGACTATGCCACACCAATCGATTTACACTTCATGAAGTCATAGCGGGCTTTCTATTTTTTTAAGTTTGACCTTCAAAATTTTTTTTTTTTATTAATTCCCAATAGAAGCAAAAAAGACCATCTATTACTTAACGGGTGATCCAAGTGCCTTTTTTGACAAATTACGCGTGAATCAATACAAGGTGCCATGTTATTTCTGTTCAGCGCAGTGAAGAAAATATAGCGGTCTGAGCTAAGAGTATACACAAAGACCGAGGAGAGCCGATTCGGCGTAGTTCGCAGCAACTCGGATTGACGTATGGAACGACTTGGCGCATTTTACGTCGATATCTTAAATTGAAAGCAAAATATAACTAGAGCAAGAACTGAAACCGCTCGACCTTCCCAAGCGACATCGTTTCACTCTATGGGCTCTTAAAAAGTTTCTAGAAGATTCCAGATTTTCGAACTAAATTTTGTTTAGCGATGAGACCCATTTCTGGCTCAATAGATATGTATATATATACATATATATTTATAATTGGCGTTTTGGAACCGCTGAAGCGATTTTCCGCCGAGCTCCTCCTACAATTTGTGGTTTTGCGTCTTGATATTTTTCCTACAAATGGCGTGACCTACAGTTTATACTAAGCACCCTCTGAACGGCTAATTGTTTTTTTTTTATGAGGAGATTTAATTTCATTTAAAATTGAATTTCGATAACTTTTGGATGTTGGTCGCACGGGTAAATGAACCGGTGCCTTCCAAATGGCAGTACGTAATGCTAACTACGCAGCTACCGCGACAACTATAGTATGTAAACTAGCAAAACTGCCGCTTTCGGGACAAGGAGCAACCAGAGCATACAGAAAAAAAAACAACAGTTTGGTGTGGCTAATAGACCGGTGTAATCATCGGGCCATATTTCTTAAATTGGTTTCAACAAGGCGGCGACACTTCCCATATCACATCAATCAATGGATTTATTTAGACACCGTCAGACTTTTCCCTGTGGGAATATATAAAGTCTAGAATCTATGCAGACAATCCCGCTTCGATTCAGATCTTGAAGTAAAAAATCATGCGTTTAAATCACCAGTTAAAGGTCGAAATGCTGGAGCGAGTCATCGAAAATTGTACAAGAGCGAATGGAACATCAGGTTCGTAGTCGCGGCCAACATTTGAACGAGATAATCTTCAAATAAGCATTTCCCATTAAATTGGAATTTACTGTGTTTTTTCTATAAAAAAAAGTAGAAAATCTCGAAATGGATCACCATTTACAAATAATCCTTGATGCTGATAATCATAGAAATCGGAAAACTTCATTATATAGTCCTTCCAACCAATTTTTTAGATATGAGAATTAATGCATATCTCAAAAAGAATGTCCGGCGACTTTAAACTAAATAACAATTCGCTTCAAGAATAGAAATATTAAAGAATACCATCGAAGAGACCGTAAATGTCCTAAATCTCCAGTTATGTTATCAACTAAAAAAGAGGCAGAATACTAATGCTATTCAATTCCCTTTCTGCTATCTCAGCATAATCTACCTTGGTTATTGACCCTACAATATACAGCGGATTAAACATTTCCGTGCGGTGTTTGTTACACGTTCTTATCAACATTTATTCAATAATCTTTAGTAACTTGTACTTGACATTGAACTGGGTAAAGTGAATTTACATCACTTCCGTAAACCGGAAAAAAATTACTAAACACTTTAAATAAAATTAATAACAATTTAATTAACTATATTTAATGATTTATACTTCAGTTACAACTATTTGTACGAAAACTGTAAAGCAAACGACACTCTTCTAATATATCACACATTTCCGCCTCGGGTTCATACGCGCATGGGCCTTGCATTTGAATTCCTTAGCAAATTCATCGAAATTCGACAACATACCAATAACACGCACCTCCTGTGGTGCATGCACATCGATTGCCAGCATATTTTGGCGCCAACCACGATGCACATCCGCACACCAGACTTGCGCTAAACTGAGAAAGAACAATTGCTGTGGCGTCACATTCATGTTCGGTAAGGACTCTTGCTTCAGGAATGTCGGTTCATCTTGGTGCTGTAGCAGCCATTGCTCGAAAGCATAATACGCAATACGCACAGCCACATTATCAGCGATATTTTCATCTTGCGCATTTGTTCGCGCCAATTTGCGTTCATTATAACGATATTCGCTGTACTGTTGCTTGAAACACTCCTTGCGCTTGACGAACTCTTCGGTGGAATTGCGATCCCACCAATTATTTAAGTTGCCCTTGGCATCGTACTTGCGTCCGATCGAATCGAAACCGTGTGCCAGCTCGTGCGCCAACATCCAGCCTACAGTGGAGTACATAAGCGTTTGGGGATATGCGTCGTGCCAAAAGTAATGTGGCTGCAGATGTGAAACTGGTATAATTACTTTATTGTATTCGGGCGCATAGGCAGGTGTGAAGGATAGCGTATCGGCTTCATCTAGTTTTGGTGGTTCCATGAGACGCAAACGATAATTTCTGCCGTTCACTTCCAAAGTATTGACAACATTATCGAAATAGTTATCGGTGACGATAACCAAGTCACCATAGAGTTGTTCGAAATTTTCCGTTTCATACGAATTAATTTCCATTGTCATGGCCGAGAGTTTCTCCAATGCTTTGTCACGCGTTGTGACCGTCATCCAATCAGTGTCCTCGGAGTTCAATATATCTGTGAATGATTTTTTTATTTCCAACCATAACGACTGCAGTTTGGAATTTAAATTCTGATTATGAGCTGTCAAATGACGATACACCAGATGATCTAAATATTTGACGAAGAAATGTTTGGTGCGTTCCACACACAAGTTGGGATATTTGTCCTCCATACGGAAATCCCGCAGCAGCTGTAACATTATGTAATTGGCTATAACCTCCTTCGGCGTGTCTTCGACAACTTTTCGTAAATTATCCAAGTACGACTCCACGTATGCGTAGACGGGCAGCACATACGGGTGGCCCAACCAAACGTTGACAAAGTGTGTGAAATTCAATGTGGGCTTATAATTATCCGTCAACGATTCCAACAGTGTCAGTTGTGCTTTATCCTCCATACCCAAACCTCTATTTTCATCCAACTTTCCCTCGGCAAGGCGCCGCTCGAATTCTACTATTTCCATAGCTGTCCTGGAGGCCAATTCCATGCTCATGCCGAGCATTGTTTGCATTTCTCTTCGTCTAACGGCCACCAAGCCAGCATAATGATCGCTAGCGCGCGCTGTCACCAGTTCATCCAATTGTCCCAGGTACAAGCGATTCACTTCATTATTACTCAAATCGGCAATTATATGTGTGCCTATCATGATTTGCTTGCCATATTTACGCAGTATGAGCGCCACAACTTCCAGCCAATCGAATTTATCCGCTCGCCAGTTTTTGCCTTTCAGTGCTGGCATGCCACCGAATTCCTCCACCAGGGAGAGTACTTTTTGCCGATAACTTCCCCTTGATTCCCCATTATTCAAGCAAGACTCAAAAAAATATTTCACTTTGCGCTCCATACCGGATTCTATGCTGCTTTTAGGATCGCGCATCAAGTGCAACACTCGTCGGTTATAGGCTTTATTTAAAACATTAAAGACACTAGTTTTGCCATCGTAGACGCGTGCCGGATATATAGCCTGCCAACGACCACAGGCGTAGCGATAGAAATCATCACAGGGATTCGCTTCCGCATCTATAAAATTAGCAATTGCGGCAGCTTTCGAAAGAAGCGCTACCTCGCGCACCGTCTCCGTCTCAAAATCCGGATGAGTTATTTGTCTCGCATTAGCGACTTTGGAAAATACTAAGAGAATGAAATAGCACCAAAACTGCTGCTTGGGCACAGACATTATTGTAATGACTACCGTTTGCGGACTGATACGTGTATGATGAGTGTTTGACTGCTGCCTTTGCTGCGCAGCCATAGAAAGTGTGACTGTTTTGTTCGCGGCGAAAGTAGCAGAAGCTCGAATTGAATTCGGAAATGAACAAAGGTTATCAGTGAAAATAGAAGTCCGATTTGTTTTATTATTTACACATTTTAGTATTTCTTTCATTGATTATATTCACTTAATACGAATGATAGGGAAAAAATCTTGTCTATACATTTAAATTCACATATGTATGTGTGTATAAAAAATTACTATCGAAATACGAGATATTTTTTCTCACGCTAGCAGAGATTAGATTCATCAACAAATGAAAGCATAAATAGAAAAAAATAAACTTTATGCCTTTCACGAACATGAATTGAAATCACTAAAATTCACTATAAAAATGGCGGAAACCAGGTGGGAGGATTTGTAAAACAGAAACATTTTTCGGTCGTCGTGAAGCACCTCGGGGGGTAAAATGGAAGAATAAAAGACGTGCACATAGCTCAAGTGCAACTGAGAAATTGCTACCCAAAGTGTTGAAGAAAATCCAGATTTGTCCATTCCTCCTTCTTTGGAACTGGGTGTTCCACAAACGTCATTACACCACATTTCGCATAAAGACTTAGGTGTTAAGGCTTATAAAGTTCAGTAAAACAATAACTCAAGCCGGCCGACAATTTCGTAATTGTCCTCTAAAGGCATGAAAATGATCCGGAACTTTATCGAAAAATCATCTTTACTGATGAGGCCTAATTCCACTTCGACGGCTACGTCAATAATAAAATATTCGCATCTGGGGCTCGGAAAACCCAAAATTTATTTTGTTGAAAATTCTCCCCATTCTCAACATAAAACTGGACTTTACTTTTTCGAAAATGATGCTGGAGTAACAGTTACAGTAAATGGATTGGGCTATTGAGAGATGCATACTGATTTTTTATCGCCACAATTCACTGGTATTGATCTGGACAGCGTTAACTTTCAACAAGACGGCGCTACGTGGCGTATAAGCCACGAGCCCGTCGATATTTTAAGCGAAAAGTTTCCGAGCCGTGTTACCCCTCGAAGAGTTGATCACAATTGGACGTCAATACACCAACCTTCGTTTCTTTATAAAGGTCCAAAAAAGTACATGAATGCTCTAAGCACAATTGTTTTTGCGGAGGCGTGAGCGTTCTTGTCATGCTATGTTGATCCTGCAGGATACTCCAATCATTTCTGCGAGTTGTTTCTTGTTTAGTCGAGCATTGTTGATCAACTTAAGTTCTGGTGAGGTTGCTTCGATGCTCCTGGGATGCCAAAAAGAAGAACCCCGCGAACACGAAACCGTTCCCTCGTGACTTCGGCACGGTAGATCTTGTTATTGTTATATATATTTTCTTATTTTGGGCTCTGTCATATTTTAGTGTTTAAGTTTATGTCTAACTGATGTAGGAACAGAAAAGCAAAGTTCAAGCCAAACAAACATATATTACTAACCAAGTCAGTAATATTGTGGTATATAATTACTATATATGACCTTTCGTCATATTTGGGGTAGCTTCATAATTTCATCAGTGGAGAGCTTCTGTGGTTTTCCGACGAACAAATTGGCCAAATGATTTTCAACAGCTTTTCGGCCGGCGGACTTTTCTTCCATCAAGAGAGTTTGCAGAGACCGAAAAAAATGGTAATCAGATGGTTTAAGGTCCTGGATATATGGTGGGTCATTCAAAACTTCCCAACTAATCTCCGTCAATTTTTGTCTGGTTACGAAAAATCTATATGGTCTGGCACTGTTATGATAAAATACAAAACATTTTCTATAGATAATTTCTCGAGGCTATTTTTGAAGAGCTTATTATAACCGTGTGAATAAAGTTCAGTTTTTATCGTTTTGTCAAACTACATTACAAATGGATATCTTACGAGCAGGTCATATTTCAAATCAAATCAAAATCATTTTTAACCTCACATTTTGCGTCAGCTTACACTTTCTCACAAACGACAAAAAATTTTTTTTATATATATCAATTAGAAAAAAAAAAATATATTTAATAGTATTAAGTGTAGGTAAGTAAAATGTCGGTTTGACAAAAACTCTTATCCATGACCCACCCCTTAGTAGACCGCTCTGCCAACAACAAACAGCTATGAAGTTCTGAATCGAATTTAGTCAGAGTCCAATAGTTCCTTAGTAATGTTAATCGAAATTTCTCACTCCTGGTGGGAATATCACAGCAATATTTTGTATGTCCAAATAACTGAAAAATTCCAATGGTACCATCCAATCGCTTAGGTTCACAGCCGTTTCACTTTATATTAGAATCAGACATCTTCGTCGTTACTCCCTGTAAACGCGTAAAACAGTTGGTTGAGTCATGTGCATTGGACTGGAAAAAGAAGCGAATCGTATGCGACTCGTAGTGGGTGAGGGACAGTCGGTTTCCACGTCACTTCTGAAAAGTACTTTTCTACCTCGGCGAAAAAAGTCAGGTTCTATAAATCTCTGATTAATACCGTCCTATTTTATGGCGTAGAAATGTAACGATGATACTTCTTCTTCTTCTTTTTCTTCTTCTTTATTGGCGCTGACAGCGCTTACACGATTTTAGCCGAGTCAATATTAGAGCGCCATTCATTACTTCTTTTCGCTATTTGTCGCCAGTCGGAAACACCAAGCGAAACCACGCCACTCTCCATCTGATCCTTCCAACGTAGTGGAGGCTTCGGACTACGTGGATTAGCCAGCGTAACCGCTATCTCTTCATTCGCTAAACTATGTCAATATCATCAAATAGCTGGGGCTGCTCATCGTTCCATCGGCTACGGTACTTGCCATTCCCAACTCGTAGAAGAGCATGAATCCTACGCAAAACTTTTCTCTCGAAGAACATTGACTCATCAGATGTTGACATCGTCCACGTCTCTGCGCCATATAGTAGGACGGGTATGATGAGCGACTGTGCATAAAGAAATGGTAAAAGTACACTAGTTGACTCGACCGTAAGGTGGGGGAGACCTTTTAAAATCCATTTGCATGGTATCACAATGGTACCAATTGCATGGCAAATGATCTAAGGCTTTTAATCTCACGTTTGTAGCCCTTTATACGAGGCTTAATATTCGATAGGATGCAGCAGCAATGGTAGTAAAGAATAAAAGAAAGTACTGCGTATGGTAGACACTGTTATAGCGTTATGGTATCTCCAATGTAGACCAAATAGTAAAGAGAAAAAACCACTGACATTGAAAATTTTTGTGTTAGCAAACCAACCACTTCATCGCACCTTTGTTCAACCCAGCTATTTGTCGTTAAAAACAGCCTTCATCCAGCAGGTCATAAAGTCAACTCCATGTGTGCAAATATGTGTGTTTGTTTTAGTATTTCCCACGTCTAAATGCTGTCGTTTACACTTTTAAATAGCACACTTTAGTCGTACAAAAATATCACTCTCCTCTCCTCCTTCTCCTCCTTCTGCCTACTCACTTCGTTTTTACTTCTAATTATCGCTCTAAGAATTAAGCAAAATGTGGCCATAAAAAGAATTGAAAGTGTTGAAATCGCGCACCATATAAATTTGTACACATTTCCGCCACTTACATATGTGTACGTACATACTCTCGTAAGTGCATACTAGTATATAAAGTTAGTTGTGGACTAGTATTTTGTTTTGCGGGAATAATACCCATTCCATAATAGCCCCACCGGACTTGTCTTCTTTACTTGTTGGTTTTATGAATGAACTAGTATTTAACTAGTATAAAGCTGATGCTAACGCATCATATTTCCTGGGACTTTATATGGGAAATCACTGTGTTAAGCATACCAGCCAGCAAACATAGGAAAACGATGGATGCTGTGCTTCTCGATAAAAGCATGTGTGTCATGAACTGGAAATAAAAACGACGTTTAGTTTTTCATTTATGTATATACTTCATGAGCGAATTATGTTTAGCGAAGTTAGATTTACTTATTTATTTCTTTTCGCTATAATATACTTTCTTTATTTTAAGTTTTATTAAATAAAAATTATTATTGCGACATTTTTCACTTAGATGTGATTTTACTTTCTTTTGCAGGTGCTTTACCGCTAGTCACAGCTACTACGTTTTGTTTTAGTCCGGTGTGGAAATGGTTTATCATAATATCCTATTGCTTGCTATCGCTTTGGGGCCTCTATAAAGTGAGTAATTCTTTAATACGCAATTTTCCATAATTAAAAATATTGAATACCGTTACGAAGAGTATTCAAATAATATTATATTATATCTCTTATATGTATATTGTTATTGCTACCAAATAGCAAGCCTGCTGGTTAGAGGTTCAAGAATTTACCCGCGGTGTAGCATGCCTTTCGTAAGAGGCGACTAAAATCCAGTAGTACCCGCGACAGTCTGGTCCTTATACCGGAACGATTTGGATCTTTATCCGGCCAAGGACTGTCACTCTCACAGCACAAAGAAACCAATTTGGGAAATATTTTTGCGGTTACAAAAAAAACAGCGATATGGTTTGACGCGTATTTCCACAAATCTTGTATCGGGTTGAAGCTACATATTTCCAATATAAATTAATTGCCATTATGTCAAGCCTACGTACACATTGATAATTGAAAAAGTGACCGCAATCTTTTTTATGATTTTCAATGTTCAAAATTAATTTTTATGACTATTGTTAATATAGCTTTCTGGCCATTTTTTGTGTAGCTTTGTAATTCCATCAATACGGTCTATCGGCGAAGAACTTGGCCAAATGATTATCAGCTGCTCTTTGATTGGCCAATTTCATACCACCGAGAGAATTTTGCCATGTATATTTAATACGAAATAAGGGCTCCTTATAAAAAGCCATCAATCCTTTGGAGAGAGCTTAGAATAAACTTAAGGTCTCTCCATTTGTTGGAAAATATATTCTCGTATATAACAGAGTTTTGCTTGGTATATGCAAACAACAAATGAAAGTCAAATGGCACCAAGTCCAAGCAATGTGGTGAATGCATCACTTCCCAAAAGGCTCCGT